GTTCCAAATGTATGTGGCATGAAAATGTGATATATAAAAGAAAATTAATTTCAAAGCCTTTTTTCAAATTTAACTGGACCCTTGATCCATTTATAACTTCTAGACTCAAAGTCTTCAATAGCTTTTTCCTAGGTTTTTTTTTTTAGTTTTTAAGCTTGTAATTAAAATTTTCTTTCATTAAGGCTTGAAGGCAGACTCACCTGGTGCATTCTGATTGATGGCTGTTCCCTTGTTGCCCATGTTTAAAATCCGCTGCAAACTGTTGTTTTGCAGTTACTTCATGAAAAGCAACTATCTGGAGCACTTGTGAGTGATCTCCCATTCCCTCTTTGTCTGGAGAAGTTTGAAAAGCCAGTCTACCGTTGGTTCTTTGGTTCTTCGTTCTTTGCTGCAGTCATCAACTCCATTTTTCATGGAGCTGTCTTCAGCCCACCATTTCTTCCTCCAGAAGCCCAACTACGTATTTTGTGAGGGGAAGTAAGGAGTACTGAATTCAAATTGATGTGAAACAGTGTGACCCTGCTTTGTGGAAAGGAGAACAGCTAAAAGAAAGACAGATGCATATTCACTCTTGCCTTCACAAAACTGAGTGTGGCTCAACTTTTTGTTCGTATGTTGTATTCCCAGCAATACTACTTGCAAACAATACTCACATTTTTATCCTCATTCCCACTCTCATCTAATCCTTTTTTCAGTTGATGTAGCTTTCTCTATCTCTTTTCTCATGTCTTCCCTTTGTTTACATAGCCTAACTTTTTTTTAAGGCAGCTATTATAATCTTCTTGTTTTCATTGTACTGGGTGTGTTTTTATATAACCATTACAAATTAGATGACTCATGCATTTAATTTACAAATATAAACAGTTAAATTGTAGTAGTTTCTTTTACCTAGTTCTCCTAATTTATCTTTTTTTCTAATCATTATTTATTAGCTTCTATTTTTAACTGTAAATAATAATATAAATAATATAATAACCATACCTATAGTTCTTAGGAAAAAATTCACTCTTCTAGCTCTAACTATATTCATAGTATATTAGGCACTGACCCTCAAGGGATTGTCCAAGTGCCTACATATATCCTCATGTTGGGACTACTGAGAGTCTTATAGAAGTACATGCTATGGTCAAATGATTGTGCAGTTTAAATTTTTTTTACATAGAATTATTGATCAGGTAATCAGCCCATCTCTAACTTTCCGGAAAACCTCATCCTCTTTTAATAAAGTTATAGAAGCTATTAAACATTTATATTTTGCATATTAGATTCTGGAAAGGCAGAGAATACCAGAATCAGAAACAAATTGGGATGATCTGTTCACCAACTGCAGACCAATATAATGTGATCTGGATTATATTCTTAGGTGAAGATCTGACCACAAACATATTAAGCAATCCTTGCACAACTCAAATCCCAAATAAGCAAAAATAGGTAGGGAATAAAACTATAATCATGCTTCTGTTTAAGTATGGTATATAGTTAAGACATAAGAATTCCATGGTTGTTGGTAGACTAGGAAATTGTTGAAAATTGTCTTAGCAGAAGTCAATAACAAGTCACTTCCATAAAAGTACCATGACAATAGTCTAGATATGTTTTTAAGAGTTATATTTAACTCATTTTTATTATTTTAAGCAATAAAATTCAGTTTCTGTTGGCCAGTGGAAGTGACCCTGTTGGTATATAGATTCTATCTTCTCATCTCTGAAACTTCCCCTAATTACAAATTGGCTCCAGAGAGTTGGAATGCTGATGGTAAGTTAGTATGTTCACACAATATTGGATATCACTAATAGTTTTGGAATCTGAAATTGTAAACATTATTCTATCCAAAGCAAATGTAAGTTTTCTGCTTCAGTTAGAAATAAGACAAGTGAAATTTGAATAATAGATGTCATCACTTCACAGAATACAGAAAAGTCAAAATCTTCCTGTGCAAAGCCTTTCAAAATATGCTTTTTGCTGCAGCTCAAATTAGTCTGAATCCCATCACTGTTTGAGATGTTTGTTCCAGTTTGATTATTTAGTAAAATTAAACATTGCCACAAAAAAGATATTCTCCTCAATGATGTGTATCTGGGTTCAAATATTTGATATACATCAATATCGTCACATTGGTAACATAGGCCAAAGCACTACACACTGTTAGATATATAGACAGATTAATATAATTATTTCACATGAAAAGGAAAATAATATAAATTAGTGGGCACAATTTTTCCAGAAGTGTTATTTATGGCTGCTTTTTTAGTCCTTTATCATGATGAATGATATATTTCATTCTAAAAGACTAATTGCAAATATTTCTGTATTAGCTCAAATTCAATTACTCAGCCTTAAAGCCTCTGTAGAGCTGTTATACATTTATACATCATAAAGACAGTAAATTATTTCTCTCTATATTAGGCTTTCAGAGCTGATTTCTTTTCTTTTTTGTTCTAGATGCCAAATATCCGACCACCTCTCCACCAGAGTTCATATCTGCAGAGCCAACATCTGTAAAAACATTTCTAATGAAAACAGAAATGCAAGCCTCCAGAGAAGTAAATGAAATAATATCTAAGCATATGGAGCCGTCATTTTCTAGGTTTTCCCTGAACAATTGCATGTTTGGGACTTCCCATTCTAAAGATAGGTCATGATTATTTCAAAACAGCAGTAGCAAAATAAAATGAAGTCTAAATTATTTTGCCAGCAATGTCTTCTGCTAAGGAATGGACATTATTTGAATCAACACATATACAATAATCAAATAATTATACTTTAAGCAGGGATTTATTTGATTACCCTAGAATACATTTTAAAAAAAATAGATTCTATTGCTTCTATTTATACTGTTTAATTTCTCTTACTATTTATCTATGTGTGTAGCTGTTAACAATGAGTTAAGGTGATGTTTTGCTATTTGGAATGAAAATCAAGTCAATAAAGGATGTAAAGCATTGTTATAAATAGTAAGAACATATTCATAAATAATTATCGTTTCATTACAGATTTTTTGCTTCCTTCTGTTTAATTGTGTCCCGTTCTCAGCAGACTGCTTGGATAAGTCCCTGCAGATTTCTTGGCAATATTTTTCAGAAGTGCTTTGCTTTTGCCTTCTTACTAGGGCTGAGAGAAAGAGACTAAGCCAAGGTTAAGCAGCTGGCTTTGTAACTAAGATGGGACTAGAACCCATGGTCTGCTGATTTCCATAATGATGTCTTAACCACTACACCAAACTGGCTCTCCTAAAGACTATTAAGAAGTGTCAAAACCTTCCAGTGGAAGTGGAATGTTGCAAGTGTTAAATAATGCTCCATTCTGCACAGATAGAGATCTATTCTAGACCAAAGAAAAATTTACAATGAAACCAAATATGGATCCATATTTATCATCTGTTTGTGGAGATAAATTGGAGACCAATAGACACTAGCTCACTTTCTCCTCTGTGGTAACTGTTAAAGTTGATTTGCTATCTGATTCCTTGTGAAAAGCCATCTTTGGAGCTGCAAAGCATCAAGTGCTGCATAAGCTTCACAGATATGCATAAGGAGATACTTAGAAAGTGTAGTGGATTCCATTTGTATATTTTATCTTTAAAGGAATGTGTGTGAAACTGTGTTTAATGCTATTTTAAAAGGAGTTAAGTAATACATATTCCAAGGTTTGTTGAATTCATGCTCACCAAGCCTTAAAATACATTTTAGATTGAAAAAAAGGCCCTTTATTTAATGTTAAGGCCCCCTCTAGTGTTTGAGAGTTAGTTGCAAACTCAATGTTTGATTTACATTTTAGACCTATACAATTTAACTGCATGAAACATAAAAGAATATTTCAGGTTTATTGGCATTTTCTTTTATGACATGTTAACAATGCAATAAATTAAATTATTTACAAATTATAATTGCTCACTGTTGCATTATTTAAATTCTAGGATGATAATTATGAATACGATTTATTGCAAATATATCACATATAGAAGTAAACTGTTCAACATTACAAAATCTTTAAATGCAAATGGTACAGTTAATGAAAATTAACTTGAAGAAAAAATGTCTTCCTGTTTCAGTCCTTTAAAAGGATAATCAGCACAAATGTAGTTGCTTACAGTGTGAATAGATTTACAATGTAAATACATTTTAAAATACCTTTTAAAACCCTGTAATTCAAACAAAGCCACAAATAACATAAAATATATGGATTTTCGGTGTAGAAGTGAGATTTGAAGTGTAATGAAACTATTCTAACAGAATATGTGTGGAAAATACAAATGTGTGTATTTTGTCTCAAAATACTGAAAAATTGAGTTAATCAGCAGCATGCAGTAGTATACATTTTACTTTAAGAAATCCATTTTTAAAACCAATTTTTTAAACTTTCATGTTACTTTCATATATTCAATACTGAATGTAAACATATTTTAAGTTTATGGGGAAAAAAATTAAAATTCTATCATCAGAAAAAAAACACTCCAGTGTTCATATTACAACATTTAAAGTCACAAATCTTTTAGGTTATTTTGAGTTCCTCATTAGATAAGAGACAGGAAAAGGAAAGGGGCCTATTATTGAAGACACACTGTCCAGCGTTTAGGTGATAATGATGTTTTCCCATTTTCTTTCTGCCCATCATCACATCTGGAATTCTATCATTTCTGGCACCAACCTGATTAAGACTATGCTGCAGCCTCAGTCATTTTAAACTATGGATATAAAATAAGAGATAAACTAAGTTCCTTATTCAGGAAAAATCCCCGCTGAATGTTTTCAGTTGTATGCATAAAGGAAATGTTCTGGCCTGGAAACATTCAGGCTAAAGGTTTAGGATGCAGATCCCCATCCAAACCATACAATAAAACAATCCCATACTTCACATGCACATGTGACGCTCCATCCATAAAAAACACACACTGAACATATTGCTGAGAATTATGCATCACCAAAGCTGATATAGCTAACTCAGGCAGAAACTGCATGATATGATTTTGAGTCAAAAATCAATTCTATGTTGAAGCTTTCTTCCATTGTTACTTTTTATTTGGTGGTGAATATAATATTATTAAATTTGTATGTTGCTCAACTTTCAATGACTTTGGGCCTCTCACAATGATCAAGCAGGAAAATCAATAAAACAATATAAATAAAACCCGGTAATCACGATAAAGTGAGAATTAGGATTAGAATGCATGTGTTTGTGTGTCTATTACATATCACATAGGAGATAAATTATTTGAGTATAGCCCAAGTTACTAACATCTTTTAAAATATCCTTTAAAGAGATGGATATTTAATAATTAAATTTAATTAAATAATTAAATCCAATAGATGGATAATTACACTGTTGAATTAAACATTTTATTTTCTAATTTTAAGCACAGAGCCATAGCCTGATATGCTGGATTATTTATATCGCAAAATCTGTCTTGAACATGTAAAATCACTGTGTAGCAAGATGCAGGCCTAGTAATATCTAAACAACTGTGTGCTTGCTTAGTGTTAGATTGGACAACTGATATAGGCAATAGCTTCCAGATATACAGATCACCCCTCACTTAATTCTGTATAAATTTTAATATATGGATGACAATAATATTGATGTAAGGAAAACATTAATCTATCCTGACAACTATTTGATATGCAAAGTGGTTATAAACTGGATGTAATATTAAGTAAGCCATCTCCTTTTACAGATCAGAGGAATGCACTTAAAAGCATGGCTATCTGCTACCAAATTTTCCAAATACTCTTCCACCATTTCTTTCACTACAAATTGGCCCAGTTAAACCAGGTGCCATTGCTTGATGGATCTTAAATGAATTGTGAGTTTAACATAACTTGCTTAGGATTCAGCTACTTGTCAGTAAGAACTGTGCTATTCAACCTAAATAAGAGCCTATTTGTACAACTTATTGTTAAACAATTCATCATCTGAATAAGTAAAGTAGTTTCTTTAAAGGAAAATCTATCATATAAGGAAAAGTAGACATGTAATCTCAATTTTGCTTAAAAGTTACTACAAATTATTGTAGGACATTTTCCTAAATGCAGTTTTATTGAAATTTCTTTAAAAACGCAGGCATGTAATAAAATAAGCAAGCAATAAATTCTGACAAGAAATATTTCCACTGTGTAAATGAAAGCTTTTGCAATACTGACCAATTGACAAAAATAAATAGGTAAAAAAGTAATAAAATAATTGAAGTAGTCAATGTTCTTCCCATTTCTTAGAAGTAGTATAGTGATATTCTAGTTTAGCAATAAGTCTTGGGAGACAGGAGTATATACACAAATCCTTCAAAAATCTGATTCAATCTACCATTTGTTAAAACCTGAATCTTGGAAGTAAAAAAAAAAATGACTAATTCTCTTGAATCCTGCTACTTGCTTCTATTTCTTTTTGCAAGCACTTCACTGATTTGACGATCAAGCTCACTTACGATGTGATCTTCATGATTATATACACCTGTTCTCAACAAGGTATCCCTCTCCTCTATTAGACGTGCAAGGTAGTCATCCAAAGCCTCATCTCCTTTCCCAGTGTGAGAATTTTGCAGTTGGACTCCCAATAACTCTTGGGCATCTTGTGACTTTTTCTTGTCTTCTTCTTGTTTCAATCTAAAAGGAAAAATACACTGAGTTGTACTAGTCTACAATCTGGTCTTTTGCTTTTTCAGAGCCAGCTTTCTACTGAAATTAGTCGAAATGAAAAGAAACAGACACTATTACCTAATTAGAAGAGTCTCAATGCTAATTAGATTGCATAAGCCCTCTGCTGGAAGACACAAGTGCTTTTCTCAAGTGTATAAATTTGAGTGATCTTTATTAAGAATTAAACTGTCTGAACACATTCAAAAATACATCATTTAAAGGTATTGGAAGTACTCAGCCATTTAAAATAGAAAGTGTTATGCTCATAGAAATGAGAGAACTATTAATATGTCCTTTATTATGCAGCAAACAGGTTTGCTTAGAACAGGAGGTAAAAAAATATCTTGCTGTATTATTTGCTACAGTCAAGATAAAAAACTAGGTCTGGTGGCCTTTGGCATAGATTTCCTATAAAACAAGGTTGCTACATTTTATAAATGGGCAAATATTACCTAAGGGACAGAAAGCTGTGTTCTTTTACAGGACTGACAGCCAATTAAATTTAACTTAGCTGAACCTTCACCTATTCAGCAGCAGAAGTAAAAATCCAGCAAATGGTACAATACCTGTTCAGCTCATTTCTGATATCCTCTAGCTCTTGCCGCTGTGTCTTCCCTAATTCTTTCTCTTCTGCTGCAAGGTACCGAAGTCTCATGTGTTCAAGTTCTTGTTGCTGCTTTTTAAGACGGGCCATAGCATTCTCTTGCTCACGCTAAGGAAAAGCCGACTACATTTAATTTTACAGAAATATTTCCACCGTATTTGACAGTTTATCTTATTTAATCAGGAACTGTGGGTTTGGTTTGTGCATATGCAAGTGAGATAGACCATAAGGGAGTACTTAGCAAGCATCATAAAAACCACCATCTACATTTTTATTTAAAAAATGCTGACACCATTTACACGAGTTACGTACAGAAATAGAGATACCATAGAAAGAGACTTAAAACCCATGTATTTGTACATTTCTTCCCTTTTACTAAATTATTTAAAAGTTGAAATAAATGACGATTAATTTAATTAATTTCTAGGGCCACCCACTCGTCCATATCTCTGGGCAGCAAAAAAGATTAAAACAGAGGTGGCCTATACTTCATTGTTCAGTGATTGTCCCTTCAGTTGCCTATGCATCAAAACATCATAAGCTACAAATTGTTTTTTAAGCATGTACCATCCCAATAGTTTGATTAATTGTACAGCCCATATAATTATGTCTCTCATAGGAATACACACCACGTCTGGAAAAAGTATATAATATACTTTAAAATAGCATATTAAAATTTTTCTAAATCTCCAAGGAAAAGGATGAAGGAAATAAACTAGGTAGATTTATGTCCTGATGATGATGATGATGATAATGGTGCAGAACTGGTAACATAAGAAAGAATATACAGATAGTCCTTATTTAGTGACAGCCTGGTTTAGTGACCAATCACAGTTATGTGGTGATGAAAAAGGAATGATAAAGATCATAAGCATAGTAGTAGTTTCACTTAGTGACAGCAATAACTAAATTGCTTGCACCAATTGTAGTCGCTACATGAAGACTACTTGTAATGAAATACAAGTTGGATGAAGTTTTCTATAATCTACTAAAATTTTCATGGCTGTAGCTTTTAAACTCATGCATCATAGGGCAAAACTTTTTCAACCAAGATACCTCAAATGAGCTACCTTACATAGTGTGCCCAAATCTAGGGCCTCTGTCTCCTGTGGAATTGAAATGTGGCAAATTTTATTTTAAAAAATTCATGACATAAAAATTATCATAAAGCATTTTATGCCATAATGTAAAGTGTCATAAAATATAAAACTCTTGATGTTTGAATCTGCTACAAGTGTTCAACATGGACTACTTTCAAGGCAGATACATCTCCAAAAATCTCTCTGAATGTTTAAGAACTTTTCAAGTACATTAGAAGCCCTGTCAATGTTGAAGGAAACTGGGGAATCTGTAAGGAAATGTCTCTGGAACAATGATCTAACAGGTCATAGGTTATCTAGTACACAACACAAACACATACACACATAGAGGTTGGCTGCAGACTTATGGATACATTAATGGAAGCAAATTCCATTGAACTCAATAGTATTTAATACTGAATAGTTTTGCATTGCTGAAATCATTACAAAATATCTGGTTTTGGATTAAAAACATGTACTGGTCTTCTTTCTTTCAATAATCCAAACAAAATTTAGTTTTTTATATTTGAGATATTATGTCTGTTCAAAGGCTGAATAAGCCAAATACAAATTGCCTGTGCTTTAAGTCCTTATAAGGATTAAAATAATTTTCTTAGAAAGCATGTGATACATGATATTAGGCACATGCTACATTCTTGTTAAAACAGCAAAAGTAATTAGCCAGCTTTCAAATTTAAAGTTCTACATGTCTGATAGGACTGTAGGATCCAAATCATTCTAAACTTCCCAGACTATGTCTGAAGTAGATGATTTATGATGATTAGAGTAGAGGTTTATAAAAAGAATGAACTGTCTGTAAGATAGATTTTTGGTTGAAAAGATTTTTTATCCATGTTTGGTACTGAAGTGAGAGCCATTACATCAGAGTTTTTTTCCCAAATACCTTCGTTTCACACAATGTACTACAGAAAACAAATACCCCATATTTGTTTTAATGACTATTTAAATAACTGAAAACTGCACCAACCATCTCCGTGATTCCAGTCTGCCTGTACAACTTTCATTCCCCTTCGGGTATTTTTGAAAGTTTACAGCCATGTTAGCCAAATGTCATAATTATATGGACAACAATTCAAAGTACTTGAAATGCACTTCAAATTTGCTCTAAACAGCAATGCATACATTTCCATAATAAGATTATCAATAATGAAGGTCTTAACAATCTAACTGCAGAAGCAGTTATTTTTTCCACATATTTATGGTAAGGATGTACAAAGCACTCAAAATATAGAAAGGCTATTTTATCTCAAGCTTGGATACAACATATCTCTGTGTTCTCTCTTGGGACAAAAGCAGGCTAGTTTGTTGCCATTTCAATTGTTTTAATATCTTGCAACTAGCTTTTTTAAAAAACACTATTTCATAGATTTAGAATGTGCACCATCCAATATTAGTTGAGGCACACTGCTCAAGGGAATGTGAGTTAAGCAAAAAGTTAATTAGTAAACATTGAGCAACTAATAAGCATTCCTGGGTATATATTTATTACTGCTTTTAAAGTTCCTGTATGGGGAAATTAGACTTCATAGGCTATTACATAATATTATTGTCATTTTATGTATGCTAGGCTTTTGTTTCCATTGTCAAATGCAAAAAAGCGCCCTTATGATATTCAACTTTCAAACTGCACAGTATAAAAATAATGTTGCTTTGTCTGTTAATCTGGCAAGGAGGCTTCCAAATATAAAAAATGTCCATTGTAATTCTATGTGTATTAGGAAAAATCTCAAATCAACAACCAAGGAAGTGTACTTTTCTGTTACGTTGTTTAAGGTTTTCTTGAAGTGAATCCATGCCTATTGTTTCTTTACTGGGTTCAGATTCTTTGTTCAGGCAACTGTAACAATGAATATTCATCTCTTCCAATTGTTTGCAAAATGGGAGTAAAACATTAAAATATTTTGTATTTGAATTATGATTTTTTTTTAAAAAAAAAAGTTGGTCTTTGGGCCAATTTTCTGTAAGGGGATGTCAGATATGGAGCACCACCTTATCTATTTTTGAGAACCTAAGAAAAAAAAAGGAAAAATCTTGTGGCAAATTGCCACTGTATCCTATGTTAGAATGCTGTCCAATTGGAATTATTCTAAATGAGGCTATTTTGTTTTGAACATGAAACAAAGAAACAAAGAGTTTCCCTACCTCATTTTGAGTACGCGCTTATATGTGCAGTGTATTTATACACACATTAGTGCTCAAACTAATGACTTCTTAAAAGCCATTTCAGTGATCTCATGACAGCCAGTTTGCTCTAATGCAGTGGTTCTCACCTGTGGGTCGGGACCCCATTTGGGGTCGAATGACCATTTCACGGGGGTCGCCAAACAACGCAGTCCGCCATTTTTTCCCCCTTTTCCTTAGCTGTGCTACTCCCTTTTATTCTATTGGCTTTTGAAAGCCAATAGAATAGACTCTCTTGAATAGAGTCTAATTCTATTGGCTTTCAAAAGCCAATAGGAATTGTCCAGGCTGTCTCTGCCCTGCTGAGCCCGCCAAAAGTCCCATTCTGCAAATGGTGCTGCACCAGTTGATTAGTCCTCAACTTACGACCGGTTGAGTAGTCCTCGACTTACGACCGGTTGGGGGTCGCGGCATTTAAAAGGTTGAAAACCACTGGTCTAGGGTCTTCTGCTCGAGCAGAGGGTTGGACTAGAAGACCACCGAGGTCCCTTCCAACTCTATGATTCTATGTTCTAAGTTAGTGGTTCTCAACCCGTGGGTCGGGACCCCATTTGGGGTCAAACGACCATTTCATCGGGGTGGCCAAACAAGGCTGTCCACCATTTTTCCCCCTATTCTTTGGCCACGCCCCTGGCACCCGGTGATGTATAAGTGGTTGGGGGTCACCACAACATGGGGAACTGTATTATGGGGTCGCAGCGTTAGAAAGGTTGAGAACCACTGCTCTAATGGTTAAGGCACCAGGCCTGAAACCAGGAGACTGTGAATTCTAGTCTCACCTTTGTCATGAAAACCAGCTGAGTGACTTTGAGTCAATCAGTCACTCTAAGTCAATTCACTTCACTGGGTTGTTGTTAGGAAAATAAGAGGAAGAAGAAGTATTAGGTATGTTTACTGTCTTGAGTTATTATAAAAATAATACAGGCAGGATGTAAATAAATACAATTTTTAAAATACCCATTCATTAATCACATATTGACAGAAAATAGTTATTGACTATGCTAATTTTCTAAAACTTGCTGTTTCAATAACATTTTAGACAAACATACAAAGGCTATCAGATCTGATCTAGAATCTTTCCAGAGATATCTTGCCCTTCATTGAGAACCTTGCTGTACTCCTCACCTGATCTTCCACTAATATTTATAACCCTGGAGAACTATAATCCATGATCCTTCTGCAATTCTTAAAAGACTAAGAAATTATTTTCATTTTCATTACGTGAAGAATGGAACTTGAAGAATGGAAATAACTACTGATATGAGATTGTTGAGTAATATTATCAACATATGTCTGTAGAAACACCAGAAATACCAGATAACTTCTTTGATAGCGGAAGCATAGTGTTATACATATTTAAACACAAACTTCTCATTACAACAACATGTTTCATCCTGACAGAAAATATTACAAAAAAACTCTTTCAATAACGGCATATATCAGTTGCAAAACGACTGAACAGAGAAAAGAAGCCTTGTAATCACAAGTTTTACTTGAATACCTAAACAATACATATTCTCTCTCCATTATCATATTGTGTTAGAGTAAAATAAAATCTGTAGGAAAGTATACAGTACACTAACAAGATACTACTTCTTTATGTCTTAGAAAGAAGCAGAGTAAGATTTTTAGTTATACTTCTATTACATTTCTAATGTTTTCCATTTAACTAGCAGTAAATTTACAAATTTACAAAGATATTTAACGTTATCTCAATTGTGTCTCATTTGGATTCTAGACTGAATGTCAAATCAAACACATAATAAATTACTAATATTAAAAAAACAATCCAGAAAACAATTCTTGCATGCTACCAGGTGCCATAGTTAAGAAATTCTTCAATCAATTGAAAATGATCTTTATTTTTTCATAGCAGCTTATACATCCAGAGGGAAGATGTAAACATACATACACTAGACTAAACAATGGCTAAATAGCAGCGACTATTCACTCTCCCACTTTCACATACCCAAAAAAATCTGTGGGAAAAAAACCGTACAAATAAGTTGCAGCAACTCAACTCAAGTTTTCTGAAAATAACCTAAAGCTGACAAGTTAGTAGGAGGATCTGGATGGTTTCAAGACACAGTTTTTAACTAAGACTTGGATTTCTAACTGTTTTTTTAAGGAAAGATTTACATCCTCTTCTTGGCTAAATTACTTGTAAATTAATCACATTAATTACTTTGAGAGGATAAGCAGGAGGCTGGACAAGATAGAGACAGTGTCAGCCAATAAAGTCTGTGTTTGTTTAAAACAAATGTGCTGGTTGTGCTGCAGACAAATCCCCCATATAGTATGAAAACTCTTTAATAACCACTTATCTCAAAAGTACATACTTTGAGTTTTTACAGAAACATTCAGGATCCAGACAGATCCTTCTGTAATCACCAAGTCGGATTGCAACATTCTTTCTAACTATAACTTCAAAAGCAATATGCTATAAGTTTTCTAATTTAAGGTTTCTTATATTAACAAATGTAAGTAATTTTCTTGACAAAAGCTCAAACTGGAATATTAACATGCATATGAGAATCCATTATATTTTGGTTATGTAAAGTTAGTAATTAGCAATTGACATATATGCTTTGATTATCTGAGGATCTCTTTTTACATTCTAAATGGAAGTTCCCTTTATGCAATAATTCACATGCATTATACATACAGGAACATCATGTAAAGAAAAATAGTAATTTCTGCAACTGCTGTAAAAATTACAGATTCAAACTGCAAATCAAATCACCTTTCCTCAATGATATGTGGTGTGAACATGAAAATTTTGAAAGGGGGCGTTTGCCATTTTTTCCAGAATATATCTTGCACAATTGTCTTAAATACCAACTTTTCTGCAAGATCTTTTTGTATTTTCCAGCCTTACTCTGCTGGCCAACTGCTGTTGATCTATTATCTTATAATTTCCCCTAAAGTTGGTCTAGGGGAGACTATAGTTCTTGAATAAGAACCATGTCAGTTGCCCATTGTATTTTATTAATACACTACCACAATTGTGAGGATACACCAGAAAATGGCAAGCCCTAGATCATAACTCTAAGGCCTGCTACATTCCACATCCTCGAAAACACTCTCCACAAGCTTATACAAACTCCCATCCTCATTCTCCGATCACGTAAGCCATGCCAATTTGCTAGTGCAATTTCATTAAACAACTAGGCTTTTTCCAACTTGTGCAGTCCAATGTTGGTTGGGAATTCTAAGAGTTGCCACCACAACACATCTAGAAGGCTTCAATTTGAGAAAACAAATATAGGAGCTATTCTGTGTGCAGGTGATGTCATTCTCACCCTTAAGGATATAATAGCTGCGATTCTATAGCAATCTATCAGGAACCTGGTGGCTTCCTTTTCAACTTTTTTTTTAAAATTAAAAGACAAATTTTTATAAGTTTCAGGTCATTTCATCAGATCCATTACAATAAGCTGTAGCTCTCAAAGGCTTACACATTTTAATAACATTTGTTACTTGGAAAAGATGCTATAAACTAACATGGCTCTCTTCCTATAGCAACGATCTGTGAGTTTTCCAGCCAGAAAATGTACACTTACCTGTATATCAGTTACCTCCTGCCCTGACTCATACATAATATTGTTTGTTCTTGGCTTGTTCAATAAATCAAGGTTTAAAATCTTGTCTCAGTATTACAGATGACTATAGTTATTGAATTGACACCGTTTTAAACCAATTGCTGTAATTCTGCCTAAATTAGCACTAGCATTATGTTACATATTTCTGCAGTAGAAATATGTAAATTTTTATATTTATATTTTAATATATCCATCAGAAAGGACTGTTATTGACCTCAGCACATAAAAGTGGGAGTATAAATTAGCAATTAAATAGAAAGATATTATGCAAAATACTTGTATATTTTACATGATCCTGTAACTCATATCTTTATTATGCCTGTCATTTTTTATTAGAAATCTTTCTAAACAGTTCTTTGGCAGTGGCCACAAAGCATTTCATCCCCTTTCCAAAATTTTGTCAGTTATGTTTTATCATTAATATTTATTAACAATTCAAGATACTGTTTTCTGTGTCTAATTCTCACTATACAAATGTTTTGTGCAAATCTCCAGAGAGCTCTGGAGTGACACATTTTTGGCAAAAAATTGCTGGCTATTCATGAGAATCAATGTGAAATTAATAATATTAACCCAAATTAAACACAAACACACAGACACAAATCATAAAAATTTAAGCAGGCATAACATTTGACTTTCAATAATAGAAGAATCTTTACGCTTAACTTTAGCCTAAATTCAAAAGAAAAAAAAAGCATGCTCAGAAGTTTTAAAAAACTTATTTTAATTGGCTAAGAATACAAATATTTATATATTTCTGCACTTTCTCTTGCATGTTAAAATTACATCAAATAGGCTAACTATGTGCTAGACAGTGGCCCGTAGCCTTTCTGGTACTAAGGACCAGTTTTGGAAGAAAAATTGTCTTCCATGGACTGGGGAAGGGGAGGGGGATGGTTTTGCACACCACCTACATCCTGAGCAGGTGCAGATAAAGCTTCATTCACCCAATGCTTGCGTGGCCCGGTTCCTAACAGGCCATGGATCAGTACCGGTTTGCGGCTCCGGGGTTGGAGGGTCTTGGTATTAGGCATACTACTAGATCCATAAAAAATATATTGTTAAGTATAACAGCTCACGCAATGCAGTTTTCAGGCACTGATGGCTGAAATAATGCTAACAAGCTTACTGGAACCAGAAAATCTCCTCTGCGGCTAATAAACCTTAATTATCCGTACACATTATTGCAGAGAAGACACTAAAAAATAAGCAGTAGCTCACTTGATCTATATGTACTATAATCCCTCAAATAATTAAGAGAGCAGTAGCTCAAAACCTATTTTTCTAAAATGCAGTATTTTAAATATGTAAGCACTGTATCCAGATTGTATTTCACAAACACACCCAACGATAATTAATGTTGCAATATTTCTAACAAGTGGCCTTCATTATTTGCAGTTCTAGTCCAGCCAAACAACTATGAGTGACAAGACCATAGATAAAAAGACAGTTAATAATACATATAGTGGTACCGTGGTATTCAACTGCTTTGAAAATCATAAAATTTGGTACTCAATGCCATTTTGACATGAAAGTTTTGTCCCGGTGCTCATCATTTGTTTGGTACTCAATGCATAAGCTGGAACATGTTGGTGTTGGCAGGCTCGTGATTCACTACATTATTTCTTATGGTAAATTTGTTTGATATTCATTGTTTTTCATACTCAGTGTGACTTCCAGAACCAATTAATGATGAGAAATGAAGTACCAATCTACATGCAAAACTCAGTTCACTATTTTGCATATCTATAAAATAATCTCCAAAAGGGTAGATACGTTTACCACAGATAAGAAGATCTGCTTTGTTTAACAAGTGCAGAAACACAAAATTACAGGCAACAAAGTCCACTTGCACATCAGAATTACATGATCAAATTACCATTTCAAATCAAGATAATAATATAGGATTCTTCAATTTCCATATTTTATGGCCCTGGCGTATCAATTGACTTTAATATGAATTGTAACCAAAACATCTCATGAATGACACAATACTCCAGATTAGAGTTTACCTCATAAAAATATACCATTCTATGTTAAGTTTTGCCACAGATCAGATGTCAATAGGCACTTTCTTCTCTCCAACCATGAAATTTAATGGGACACTTTAAACATTATTTTTCTAGTACAATAATCTTTGACTTACAACAGTTCATTTAGTGACCATTCAAAGTTACAACAGCACTGTTGCAGCATCCCCATGATCATGTGATCAAAATTTGGATACTTGGGAACTGGTTCACATGTAGTGTTAGTTGTAGTGTTCTGGGATCACGTGAACAGCTTTTGCGACCTTCTGACAAGCAAAGCCAATGGGGAAGCCAGATTCACTTAACAATTGTGTTACTAACTTAACAACTGCAATGATTCACTTAACAACTGTGGCTAGAAAAGTTGTAAAATAGGGCAAACCTCACTTAATATATGTCTCACTTAACATAAATTTTGGGCTCAATTGTGGTTGTAAGTCGAAGACAATCTGTATCACCATAAGTTGTTCAAAAATAATTTTGTGGAGTTGTAGCTTTGGTTCCACCAATATGAAGGAAAGCATGTTCTTGCTACTGTTATGTTATCAAGACTTCTGTCCATAATTTTTCTTTAGAATTTAAAATTTTATATTTTTAGAGGCACAACTATATCTATTCTTGGATAAATTTCTTCTCATAAATTCAGTTAATTAATAAAAATGGCAAGCCCTCTTTTCTTTAGCCACCACTTACAATTTCTCTACAGCAGAAATTAGAGAGAAATGTATACAACAGAGGGGTATAAATAAAATGTGCAATTTCAGAAAGGTAGAATCTAATAAAACTTTTTTAATTAGAAGTACAATTTAATAAAACTTTTCATTCCAGAGTGTGTGAAAACTAAAAGCTGATGAAAAGAATAATCAGCCCTACATCTAATGTGCCTTCTATGAATTCATCATAGCAGGGATGCTTAATTAGATCAATTATTAGATTTCTCCAGCAATCCCTACCATCCTTTATGGAGAAATTCCTTGTGCATTCATTTACTTTATTTTTGTTACACACCTGTTTTAGCCTTGCTAGTTCCTTCAAAGCTCGTGCCCACTGTTGCTTGTAATGTAGTTTTGCTTTAGTAGCCGATTCCAACTTTCTTTCAAGATCCCCCTAGTAAAAAAATATAATCTTAATATACAGTACAGTTAAAAAAACCCTGAAGGACTCTTTACACAAACACACACAGAATTTGGATTCAAAAATTGCTTGGTACAATATGCACCATTAAATTGTTATGCAACTTAATGTAAATATTGTGACATAAAATAATATTCTCATTTAAGCGATAATCTTATTTTTATTTTCAAACAAAGCAAAACTAGATTAATCTGCAGTCCAAGACAGTTCATATAAACAGTTTTTAAACATTTCAAAGGGATTAGATAACATTTAATTTTGTATAATGCACATTAGCATTCATTTTTAGTTTAACTGAGCATGAAATGTCTTTGTATGTATTATCAGTGAATTGTAGTTAATGTCTGTTTTCCATTTGCTCAGACTGTAAAGTTAAATCCTCAATATGAAAGATCATATGTCTGTAATAAATGACTACCTGCCTTCAAAATTAGCAGAAAATAGTACACTCTTTGATTTCTTTCTTATAGTAATTATAGTTCTTTCTTATAGTAATACTGCCATTTGGACTTCTAAAATAGTCCATTCTTAAACCTACTTCTACTTTAGATATGAAAAACTGAATTATACTATTGGTATACTATTAGTATACTATTATACTATTGGTAGCTTCTAGGCCCTTATGTTGTTAATATTAGGTTAATAAGGTACTAATGTACTAAGCCAGGGGTCTCCAACCCCAGATTCGCTCGCGGTATGTCAGCACCGGTCCGCACAAACAAGCAAAGCCCCATCCGCGAGATGCAGGCAGCACACACCCTCTGGTCCGCAGAAAAGCCTCTCTCCATGGAACCTGTCCCTGGTGCCCAAAAGGTTGGAGACCTCTGTACTAAACCATCAAAATAAAGCTTTGACCTAGAATGAATCATGATTTTGTAGTTATCAATAATAATTTGAAAAATGCATCAATAAATTAATAAATAAATCATGCCTTACAGAGGGATACTATCACTGGCTGTTTCCCTGTACGGTAACTGTTACTTTGCTTTATCCCCATTTTGGCTGCTGTTAAATATAAAATTGATTTCCTGCTTTTCTTAAATGAGTTATAATGCTATTAATGCATGCTGTGCTTTAGGAATGAATACAATTGAAAAGAAAGTGGGATTAGAAGTTGATAGCTGTACCTTCTCTAAAGTTAGAATGCCTATTTCTGATTGCATTCGGATTTCCGGTCTGTTACTTTGTTGCTCCTTATACTGCTGAAATTCTTTCTCCAGAGCCTTATGCTTGTTTTCTGCCTGGTATAGCTGTTTTCAGAAACAAATAATCTGAATGGATTTAACACTGAATGGAACATTTTTTGGGCCAACACAACAGATATTACATTTATAATATATGCTCATAGCCCCACAACTTCTCCAGAACTTCCGAAGTCCTCTAGAAAAACAGATTTAGAGGGAAAACAGAAAGAGCATCAAACACAGTTCTCTGGTAATATGGATTTATCTCTTTGATTTGCTCATCATTGGGTGGAATAAAACCATTCTTGGGAACAATATATATACCTTGCCTATGAAAGTTAATTAACTTCAAGCTAAACTCAGCAGAATCTAGAGATTCTGTGATGGCTGATGTGTATACATGCTATTGGACTTTCTGGCATAGAACAACATTGAGCATAATTAAATACAAAATGGCTTTAATAACTATTTATCAATCTCAGTTCTGATTAATTTCCATTATTATAGTTTAGTTTCTGCACTAGCAGTGATGTTTCTTCTTTTCATATAAAGCATATGTTCTGTCTCCAAATACACAAAAAAAGACACCAGCTTCACAATACAACCTAGAAAGCTATTAAATATATTTTTGGAGAACATCTGAAGTCAAATCAGAGAATTTCAAAACTTCCCTAGTATGTTAAAAAAAAAAGGAAGCAAATATTTGAAGATAAAAATGTTGTGGTAAGAATGTGGGAGTTAACTTAATGTCTCTATTAGGGATAGTACAGCCAGATGTTTGGCTTGACCATTAAAAACAATGTTTAATGTTGTCTTTGTGTGGAAGTTCTTTCTCAGAAAATATGCCGGATCTCTGCTCTTGTTTCAAGTGGCGGCAGAGGAGAAAATGTACTGCTTTTTGCTTGGCTTTATCTTTTCATGTTACCATCAGCTGATGTTGTATTGTATTATCCCTTCATTTTATATTAACAATTTAACTGTTGAATATGAACAAAATGTACGGCTTTACTTATGAATGGCTGCGATGAAGTTTAAAACAACCTATAACTAGGAAAAAAATAATTCCTATAAGTAAAGAATGTACAAGGCAGCTCCCAATGCACACATGCATGTGCGCGCGCGCACACACACAACACACACACACATACACACAGATGGGAAAGCTGGAGGAAATGAAAAATGTGGATAAAATCCACATGACCAAAACAAACAAAAATGTAATAGATTCAAAAATGTATCAGACCCAAAAATGCTGTTCCTTGAGGTTTTTAATGTCAAGTCCTCTCAAGTCCTGACGCTGAACAATTGAGAAACCAGTGTTAAGTAAATATAATTGATCTTCAGGATTAAAGAAAGGGATGCTTTAGTAAGGAATGCCATTCTTAGATAATTTAGACCAGGGGTCTTCAAACTTGGCCCTTTTATGAGGAATTCTGGGTGTTGAAGTCCACAAGTCATAAAAGGGCCAAGTCTGAAGACCCCTGATTTAGACATTTATTAATCGAATTGAGAGCACTAGTAGATTTGCTTTTAAAAATTTATATCTAGTTCTAGAATTAATGAATAATGTAGTTGAGTTGGAAAATATAAACAGCACGTACTTGTTCTTGTGCACGGATCTTGTCCTCCTCAAATTGCCTAATTCTCACCCTTTCCAACTCAATCTGGTGTGCACATTCTTGTTTGACTCGCCGTATTGTATCTTGAACTTCCTGCTGATTTCGTTCATGTTCTGCTTGGAGCTCCTTCTTTAACCGCTGGAGCTTAAAATGAGTTTTTATAAAAGCAATTTGAAAACACACATTCACATCTGAACAACTTAATATTTGGCATTACTTTACAAATGAGTCCATTTGTTTCTCTGTACTCTCAAAAATCACTGCACGTAGCCAGCTCTCTAACTAACTTTTTTAACAAACTACTTTATCACTTTATCCAGTTATCTTTATCTAGAGAGCTTGAAATAGGTCTTAAAACATTTGATAAAATTATGCAAAGATACACCTTGTCAATCAGCAAAAGTTACACATAGAAAATAAAATATGGCATTTTATGCCAATTTTCAAAGGATCTATGAAGAAAAAAACCCAGATCCATATTGCTGGCAAAATGTATAACACAAAAATACTTAAAATGACTGGAAATCACTGTGACAAAATGACTGTCGCTGTGTGGTTTTTTTTTTTTAATGTACTGTACAATGGACAGCATAGTTTGGCATCCATTTACCTCAGTTTCAGCATTGACAAGCTGTTTTTCACGTTTTTCTAAGTCAGTTAAAGTTTTTTGAAGTTTTTCTTCCAAAACTGTATACTCTGCAACCTAAGGCGTATATAGAAGAAAGTAAAGTACACAAAATGGGAAATATTGAAATATTTCTAAAAATTTAGCCTAAATATTGTCCTTTTAGTTGAATGTCTCATAGTTTTGATACTCTAACTTTTGAAGAAGCAGGACGAAAGAGGATTGGTGCTTTTGAACTTTGTTGAGGAAACCCAAGAAAATGAATGATTAAAGATGCACAATTAGGCTCTGCCATACATACTGAATTCTTAAGTATCAATATAGATTATCTGTTTTTCTAACAATGGCAGACTACCTGTATCAAAAAAAAATCAAAAGTTCCTAAACTATAACTCTTTGTATGACTTATTTAATAGTCTTTCAGACTTGGTGAACCATTTGTATAAAATGAATGAAATGGATTCCCTGTACCTCTATAATTGTTTAGAGAAAATAGACATTTTATACACTTTTTTATATACTCAAGAGGAATAAAAAATAATGCAGCTTAACATGTGAATAGTAATAAATTCTGTTCTATTTTTAAAATGAGCTACCTATAGTATTTTTATGCAATTTACCAGTTACAGAAAATTCTTGGTACTGCTCCTATTTAAAGATTATCATGGTAAATGGTTTCAGAAGATAATGACATATGAGAATTCTAAAGTGAAAGCACTTACTTTTTTCTTTACCAAAGCTTCTCTTTCTCTATCCCTTTTTTTCCACTCTTCTGCCAGGGCCTGCATATGAGCCAACTCCTTCTTCTTCAGCTACAAAAAGCACTGTTTTGTTTTATTTTGAATAAAGAGACAACTTACACAGTTCTATCATTAAAGCTTCCACTTATTATATCATGTACAGTCCAAGTTATCAGCTATAACAAAGAATACTTACATTATATTTGAAGACCCATTACCAATGGATAGTTCCTTTAAGTGAAAAACTAAATCTAATGAGTCATTACTGACAAGTATTTGTGCACATACACTATATAATTTGTATTTTTCTGGGTTTCCTCCTGGTACTTAGTTTAATATGTAGATAATAGTGTTTCGCAATATTATAAGAAAGTCCATGAATAGGAGATTCTGAGCAGCTAGATCAAAACATTAACAGTTATATGCTGGACTTCCAATATATCATTATGAAAATCATGATCTGTAAGAGAAATTGCCCGTCTAAATCCCCACTCTAGTTAAGCATTTCATGAGAATAGCTTAAATTAGATAATTTAAAACCTGATGAAATCCTGAAGTAATAGCAAGCAAACATTACTTGAATATCTATCGTGGTCATTTTGTTTTATGTATTCTGCCTATTTATCTCTTGGAAGAATAGTTTTTGTAATTTTACCCCACATTAATCAAGTGATCAGTGACCTAAAAAGCTCTTATTCATACCATAGAACTCAATCATGGATCTCTTTGTTTTACCACACCTTGGTTATGTCTACATTCAATTAATCATTAAATTTGTACTTTGCTTTATGTCTAAGAGATATTCATGACATGCATGAATATTTTCTATTTTTCCCACAACAAATCCTGGAGGATATGTTGGATGGAGACATTGTAATTCACTGGGTGATTCACCATACATCCACCTACCAAAGCAGCAGATTGCCTTTTATACTGAAAAAAGCAGATTCCTGCACATTCCACTGCCAGATACTATAAAACGCAATCTGCTGCTTTGGTGGGTGGATGTGGTATCACCCAGTGAATTACAATGCCTGAAGGTGGCTTTCAACCTCTCTCTCTCCCAGGTCCTAATCCAATACTTCAACCAAAACACCACACTGGCTTTCCTCTGTGCTTTTAACCTCTATTTTGCAGTTACTCTACATTTAAGTATTGACAGACTTTGGGAACAATTTGATGTTTCTGATTTTTGTTTATACCATGTTTTCCCGAAAGTAAGGCCTACCCTGAAAATAAGCCCTAGCTTGATTTTGGGGTGTAGGTCTAATATAAGCCCTGCACCAAATATAAGCCCTAGGGTGGGGTGGAACTGCAGCTGCCTCTCGATGGTCCACTTCTTCTGGAGCATCCCCTGGCCTGCAGCTGAGAACTGAGCTATGGAGAGAACCGAGCTATGGATTCAATCCTTAGCTCAGTTTTCGGCTGCAGAGGTCTTTCCGGAAGACCTCTGACAGTGAAATGCAGACCAGAGCTCCATTTTCAGCTGCAGAATGAAGCTGCTCCTTTGGCCACAGAAGAAGTGGGCCAGCTGGGCAGGGCTGTCGTTGCTGCTGCCACGACATGAGTGGGAAAGACAACTCCTGAATATAAGACCTGGTGCCTTATTTGGAGGCAAAAAAATAAAAATAAAATAAGACCAGATCTTATTTTTGAGGAAACATGGTAGAAAGGCTGCATTAAGGGCCTTCTGCTTCTAGACTTGCTTTTTGCATTGGGTATTGCCACAACTAATGTTTTCCTCTTTGCTTATGCTACTTGGTTACCTTTTATGTATCAGCCTCATTTTTTTATACTGAAGAATTCCAAACCATGTGAAGTATTCATTCATTGTGCTTGCCCAACATTACAGCAAATGCAGTTGTATGATGTAGCTAAAGGACTGGAAGTTATTCTTTCTTTCATTCATCTAAGTAGATCCACATTTTAACAGCTACAAAAATTATGAAATAACCTGATTCTCAAAAAGATCTTCTTGTAGTTCCTTCCACATTTCTAGTTCAAGTGCTGCTTTATATTCCAGTGTTTCTCTTGGTTCAGTATGGACTTCAGGCTGTACTTTAGGAACTCCTAGTAGCTCATCAGCACCTAAACACTAAACACGGAGTACAATAAATACTTTCAAATGATTTCTAATGGAATGCTTTCTCTCTCAACCTGAAATGATTCATATTCATTTACCCGAGAAGAATCAGACACCAGAACTTCATGCATTTTCACAAGTCCATAGTCTTCTAGAGTCACTATATATGAAAGATCTGCAATCTTGTTGCTTGGCCTATAAACAAATAACACATTTTAGCTATAAAAGAAAGTTCTTGCACAAACAATAAAAGAGAGAGATAAACATTTTTCAATTATAAAACTACATAGCTATCATATCTTGACATTAAACAGGATTTCCCTCTTAATTCTGGAAGTATGTTTTTTTTAAAAAAATTCATTATTTTATATTGCTATTCTTAAGACTGCTAGAATTTCCCAGACTCTTCTAAAAGCTCAGGTTCTTACATCTTGACATGATTTTTTAAAAAACTGAGATAACTTGGTACATGCTGAAAGACCAACAGGATTTGCAAGATGTGTTACATTTAAACAAAAAGCAGAGAATTATTTTGCATTAGATTTGCTGGCCCATGCTCCAATAGGAGACTGTGATGATGATTATTAATCCTATATATTAGCTAGACTTTTAATAATATATCAAGTATATCCTCAAATTTTATTAGTATTTATCTTAAGATATATCCATATGTACTTCAATTGTATATAGCACCACACCCTAATTTAATTAGTCCATATAAGAGTGCTAATGTTTTAAGAACAAAAGTCTTAGCCTTTTAAGCTACTCTTTCTTTTCTTGAACAATTAGGAAAACCAGTTTAAAAATCCAAACCAAATTTTTTGACATCCTGTAAAATCTGCAAGTATGGATATAGGTCAGTGGTGGCGAACCTATGGCGCGGGTGCCAGAGGCGGCACTCAGAGCCCTCTCTGTGGGCATGCGCACCGTCGCTGGCTTTTATAAAACCTTTTCACTTTAGGCCTCTGCCGCTGTGTACAAAAAAAAAAAAGATTCAATCAATCAGTCGATTTCAACTTCTCGTGGAAAAAAAAAGATCTTGCAAAGTTGGAATTGATTGAACTTTTTAGTCCCACCAGTCTGCTGTTACCATTGCAGCCACGCCCACCCAATGGGCCACACCCACCTGGCACTCGACAATGCATAAGGGGGTTTTGGGTTGCAGTTTGGGCACTCAGTCTCTAAAAAGTTCACCATCACTGATATAGGTTGACAAATCTTGATGAATTATAGGCTCTTTTAATTGTTTTGGTTGAGTCAAAAAATGAAATCCTCACTCGGCAAAACCTTTATTTACAATTTATATTTCCCACTCATTTTCATTAATACCTAATAATTCCTTATGCAAGTACAATAAAATATTGAGTATCTAGATATAAGAAAAACAAATATAAATAGGATATCTGAAATAGTCCAACCTAAGCAGAGAACTAGCGTAATTGCATTAGAAAATAGAGGAAAATATTTCCCTGCATCAGGGGCTAAAGCTAATTAGATTTGAAGCAGTGCCATCTAGTGGCTGTTATATTTGGCTACACGGCGATTCATGATTTATCTTATTAGCAATACTGAAATATCAAATCTAAATGATCAATACAATTTGGAATTCAAATGTATTCTCCTAAAATGAAAAAAGGTGTACAAAGTATTAATGCATTATAAATGCATTATATTAAGTTATTAAATGAGTATTAAATAATGAAATAATTTAATGAATATTACATCATTAAAAACAGATTTGTAAAGTTGAAAAACAGAAAAGTAAACTCTTCAGTCTAATCTATACAAAACTAAATCCTGCATTTTAATTACAGGCAGTCCTTCCTTAATGATCACAATTGGCACCAATTCCATTGCTAAGCACTACCGTCATTAAGTGAGACATCATATCACAGTAATGAGGTTACAACTTCACTTCCATGATGGTTGAGCAAATCACCCGCAGTTGTGAAGGGAGTCAAGGGAGGCTTCTCCATTGACTCTTCTTGTCAGAAGCCAGTTGTGGATGCTTTGACAACTATAAATGTCTTCCAACGGTGAAGGGCTCAAATATCGATCATATTACCTGAAGGATGTTGCAACAGTCTTAAGTATGATCGGTCATAAGTTATTTTTTAGTGCCCTCATAACTGAAGCAGCTGCTAAGCAGGGAAGTTGTTAAGCAAGCACTACCTGTATAATCCAGAATGTCTCAATGGTAGTGTTTCTAAACCTTAGCAACTTTAAGATGTATTGATTCAACTCTTAGAATTCCTCCACCCAACATAAAAACTGAAGTCCGTACATCATAGTTGTTGAGGTTGAGAAACACTGATCTATAGTATTAAAAACAATTGGCTTTACTGTAGGAATCCCAATTTTTCAAAATATTTACCCCTGTGCGGCTGTAAAAGGAATAGTTTCACTGAAGGTCTGACGCCAACACTGCTCGCCATTTCCTCCTAGAAAACGTGTTTTTTCCATGGCCAAAATCTTTGAAAGCTGGAGTCTTGCAACACCTAGAAGCAAGTCTTTAGTTGTTTTATCTTTATGCCACAGTTCCACCAGCAGTGGTAACCTGAAATACAGGAAGAAAATAGGTAATTTACAAGAAACTACTTTTTTTGTCAGTCTTCCCCTATTTTTCTTAGTGGAAGTATGCATCTTTTATTTTTCAAATGTCACTTTGCTTGGAATTAAGATGCAAACTATAAGTACTCTAACCTGGTTATACAGAAGAGGAACGGAAGAATGCAGTAAACAACTATATTTTTTCTCACAAGTTAAAGTATTTTAATTAAATTGTTTAGCTTTCAATATAAACAAATAAGCACATATTAATTAGATTGTTTTGCTTTTAATATAAACAAATAAGCATAAGTAAATGCTTTAAAAATACAATCACTTGAAATTTAAAGATACACATATTTGTGATTTACCCAACTGATATGACAATTCATCCTAAAAAAAATCAAAGTACTACAATATATTTTTAGACTTCATCTGCCATTTTATATTTTACGATTCTAAAAATAGGAGGCAATTCTAGATTGGAACTTCAATGCAGTTGTTATTTTAATTTTTCCATTCCATTTCCATTGATATTTGAAAGCTCACTGTAACATATTTGCATTGTCACAGTAGCTATCAGTGTTCATAAACACGCTCTGATATATTTACTTTTTCAATTGACATGTTGCTAGTTTTATAGACTTCAGTTGTTTAATCTGGGTCACTACATGATAAAATACAGAATCCTTTTCAGGACAGTAGCAGGCAAAGATTGGAATACTGGACATATAATGAAATCCTTTTTTCCACCATGCTTACCTGACATGCTCCTCCCAAGAACAATCTTTTTTTTTTTAAAGGCCTTGTTAGTGACTACAAACAAGAATGACCTTTTAACCAATTAAGGGACTAATGAACAATATTAGTAAAAGCACCAAAAGAATAGTAGTACTGATATGTCAATAACCAAAACCTTCTCCCTCCAAGATTAGAAGCACAAATCCAAATGTCCATTAAACTGTTGAAAGCAGGAGAAAAAAGTGCCAAAATTAAACTGACATGGCTATAAGGGCCACCATGTTGTGTTAACAGAGAAACATTGTGTTCCAATATACCATACAGTTTGCATAAAAGTGAACATATTAATGTATCCATTATTAAAACAATATCTCAGAACATAAGTTACCTGCAAAAGGTATCTTGAAGCTGATGGGGCATAGTTGCAAAATCAAATGCACAGTAAGATTGTGGAAGAAATACTTCCATGTTTTTTCTTACTTCCACAGGAGGATTTGTCATAATGAGTGCAGCACTGCCAAAAAATGGATATGAATACCTATGGAGGAAGAAAAAATTAATATCAAATCAATCTGACCATCAGTAATTTTAAGCAAATTTCAGGAAATATATTTTAAATTCAAAGTACTAGTAGCTTAATAACATCTTTAAACTTGAAAATGGCAAAATTCAGTATTAATTACAAAATTTGTCAGGGAGACTGAAGTAATAGTAACCTTACTACGTGTCTGTAGGTTTCATTTTATTGCAATACATCCAGAGAAGATTGAGCAGAATTCTATTTATGAAATGGGGATTCCTTGATATCGCAAACAAAAAAACTTGGGATAGTTTTTTAATTTATCTGCATAAGGATAAAAAAAAACTAATGAAAGGGAAAGGAGAAAAGGGGAGGAAAATGGAAGTCTATATTCTACCAGGGACACAGTTTTCCCAAAACCACTGAATAATTAAGTTTTTGCAGCTTATTTTCAGCAGTGATCTCCTCTCCTCAGAGCCGAGGTGGCGCAGCAGTTAGAGTGCAGTACTGCAGGCCACTTTAGCTGACTGTGTTCAGCAGGTTAGCGGTTCAAATCTCACTGGCTCAAAGTTGACTCAGCCTTCCATCCTTCCGGGGTAGGTAAAATGAGGACCCAGATTGTTGGGGGCAATGTAAATATATATATACATTGCTTAGGTGTACACCGCTTAGAGAGTGCTTGCACTTAAAGCGGTATATAAGTCTCATAAATAAATAAATAAATGAACAGAGCTATCTTGCGTATTAGCTTAACAGTCCCAGATCACCTAGCAGTTTGGAAGTATGCAATAAATAGGTACCAATTAAATGGGGCTCATTAACAGGGGCGATGGTGATGTCAGTGGCTAATTCTTTCAACCCAGAAGTGCCTCAGTGCTTCTGACACGAATGGGACGGGACTCCTAAAAAGAATTTAGTTTGTACTAGAGACTTTTCTTGCTGCTGATGGTTATTTTTAAAACATTAACATATTAAATCTAGAACAGCATCTGATGGCATCACCATCTGTTCTGCATTTTCTATCAGGTTGAAAACAAGATCAAATTTAAGTCTGTACAGGAGATATATAGTGGTATTTTGAATATGCATATCACAATTCTTACAATATATCAGAAAGGAATGAATGTGAAGAATCTCAACATTTCTAGGAGAAAACAATGCATTTAAGTTTTTGTATTTAACAAGAAAATATCCTCCGAAGTAAATCCCATAAAATAGTTTTTTCACGTAGTGTTTACTTAAGATCTAGACCTGTATCTTAAGATTTTACGTTGTTTTATATAGCAAAAATAAATCATGCCTTCCCAATGCATTACAGTGTAAACCTTTCATACCTTAACATACAATTAACAGGAAATCCAGCATCCAGATTATGGACAGCTCTTAAATCTACCGAAAAACAAAAATGATGGGATGATGCAGGAACAGCAATTTTTTGTCCTGTATTGGATTCAGAAGTACTGGGATGTTGAGTCTGAGAAGCAGGCAGTTTACTTTTCAAAGCTGCAAATATAAATACAAAATTAACTTCAAAAAAAGTGTTAGCTTTTCTTCCAATAAAAGCTTCTCAATATAGTGTTGCAACAGTTTTAAATAAGTGTAAATTACTATTACTCTAAGGTGGTATGATGGCTCAGTGATTAAAGATGCTGAATTTGTCAGCTGGAAAGCTGACAGCGCGGGTTCGAGACCTGAGTACCACATGACAGGATGAGCTCCCATTACTTGCCCCGGCTCCTCTTAACAGTAGGAAAGGATGCAGATGCAATTAGATAAATAGATACCATTTCAGTGGGGAAGTAACAGCATTATGTGCGCCTCAGCATATAATCATGCTGGCCACAAGACCATTGAAGTGTCGTTGAACAATGCTGGCTCCCTTGCCTAAGAAACAGAGTTGAACACTGCCCCCTAGAGTCAGATTTGACTGGACGGAGGAAACTTTTTCCATTATTATTCTAGTTTTATTTGTTAAAAACACAATTCTCAACGATATATATCTATAGCTATAGGTTCATAAAAAATATTCCATGTGGCATCTTGAAGACAATTCATATGATTAAGGCTAATATTTCTGGTATTTACAAAATATATTTCCAAATTTACATATAAGGACAAAATCATATAAAGTAGGGGTTGCCAACCTGTGGGCCACGGGATAGGCTGGCCAGTGCGTGCACACGTGCTAGCACTGCTGCTATGCAAATGGGGCACCACACACACCAAAAACAGGATACCGCAGTGAAAACGAGGTGCCACGGGCCGAAAATAGGACGCTGTGAGCCAAAACCAGGGTGCCGCTAGTGAGTGTCACACGGGGGCTAGCACTGCTCTGTTTGCATCATGTGTGCTCGCAGCCCTATTTGTGTGCACACGCACACGTGCGTGTAAAATCCTTTCTCCTCCCTTTCTCTCCAGTTTGCCAACAGAGAAAGATTGGAGACCTCTGGTATAAAGCACCCGTAAGTTACTGTATTCTGTTTACACAAAAAAACTCTGGTGTTTTTATACTAGTAATTTATTTTAAAATGAAATATGAAACCTACTACCATAAACAGATTAATGCTCTCAAACTAAACATAAAGGAATTCCATAGGTAGGAATTCCATCTATTCAGAGCTTTTAGAATGTTTTAAATTAAATTAAACCATTGTGCAGAGTAAAAAAAAATTCTATGTGGCTGCTATAAAAAAGATACAAGGCAAGAATAAGTTTGGGCTATTGATAATAAGTTACGAGATATAGGTTCTGTCCAATTATTACCTGTTTTCTGTAATTTTGGATTTTTGTCATACTGAATACTTTCTACTTCACTTTCTGTAGCATCCTCTTTTATGGGGGGAGAATGTTGTGTCTGAGGTAAGATACCTTGGGAGCCATTTTCAGGTCTCACTTCTTTATCATGTGTTGGGGACAAACCTTTTTTCACATTTTCAGTCTCAGCCTTTGCAGCTGATTGGATTATAGGCTGAACAAACAAAAAGCAATGTTTATGACTAGCATTAATTTCATTTTCATGTAAAAATGATCATCAGTATATTTTTATTGTATTCTACGCTTTAAATAGTAACAAAAACTAAGTAACAAAAAATGAGCTGCACCTGACAAACTCTGCCATCCTTCTGAAGTGATACCGATACCCCAACAGTAGGTGCCATATCCAAAGGCAAGGGTGGCAGTTTCTGCCGAGCTCTATTAGGTGGAACAAGAATAAATGCTCCTTCTATAGCTACTGGATGCTGACAAATTTCGGTACTTCCTTTCTTTAATAAGCTAGTTAAAAGAATTTCAGTGCTTCCAAGAGATTGGTCCCCACAACAGAGATGAATCTAGAATTCAGAAGAGCATTATGAGGGGAAAAAGTAAACAAATAGATCATACTGATTAGTCATATTTAAAGAATTTACACAATCACTTCCAAATGCAAGCACTAAAGATGATACACAAATATTCATAATGAATCTTAGATTAACGTCTTATGGAAGCAAGGATTCCCCAGATTTTGATTTTCCTCAGATTGTCGTATTTCCCAAAATCCCTAATATTAGCAACAGCTTCAAATAAACCTATTATAGGACATGAGTCACAATTCACAACCCAAACAAGGACAGCAAAACGGATCCAGAGATTAATGGTACTACTAAATCATGCAGAGACTTCATCATTAGACGTAGATGTTGGATCATTTCTAAACGCTCCACAAGCCGAGGGAAATACTGTCTGCCACTAAACGTATAACAAGAATGTCTCCAATTTTGCTGATGCATGAGCCTCTTGAATTATAATATTGCTTTTCTGTAGGGCCAAAACTTTTGCCCACATGCCAGACTGGATTGTGATAAATCCACAGGATTATCTCAGATTCTAGAACAAATTATTAAGGTTTAAACTGTCAACAAAAATGGTAAAACTGCTTACCTGCAACTTTGAGTGAGCAAAAAAGTAAGCTCTTAGAACTTCAATGCTGCTGCGTATTCTAACAGATGCTCTTTCTGGTTCAAAGTTTGGATTCATCAGGTCAGTAAATGGTTCATTGGTAACATCATTACCAAGGAGTGAATAGTAAAAGAAGAATTCAGGCTGTCGTTCTGGAATTTTCACTGTGGTAGGTATTAACTATTGTGAATGTAGAGGAAAACACAAAACAGACTATGCATTCTCAGATTGATCATTTGGATCTATGAGCATTCATCTGCACTTCCACTATAAAGGTTCTTCCACATTCTACTAAATTTATTCAGGCATTTAAATATTTAGCAAATATAAAATCAGAGGACTCAAAGATAAGGGTAACTATTAGCTCCTGCTCATTTTTTTAGCTACTCCCAGCAGGACAGAATACAGTTAATTTAGATTTTCAGATTTTAGAGCAAGAAATAAAAAGAAAGACAGAGAGATAATAGGACCATGCATATTGCAAATATGATTTGAAGTGATTCAGAATTTGCATAATCTAGTCCCTCACTAATACTCATTAACAAAGCTTGTCTAATTCCAGGTTTCTGTGCAAGGGATGTGACCCACTGAAAGAAGCAATTAAAGTTAATGAAACACAAAGCAGTCACAGCTGAAAAAAATATGGACAGCTTTAACGAGCAGAGATGGGTGCTATGCAATAAGGTTCAAAATATTTCTTTCTAATAATTTTAAAGAGTATATGGAATTCCAGGTTTGATAATATTACAAAGTCATCATGCACTGTGAAGATCATGCTTTATAAAATCTTCTATATGGTAACCAAGAACTTAGCCAATTAAAAACATGAATCAATATTATTACCTGTTCTAATTGTGTAGCAAATGCAATAGTAACTGATAAAACAAAATAGTCACGGCAATATTCTGCTGGTCCAATTTGATGGTATCCTTCCTCTTCATTCAGCACAGGTACAAGACTTTTGGGGTCCAATCCAGGAAACTGAAAAGATACTTTTAAAAAGAAGAAATTTGACTTGGACTTTCTGAAAAGAATTGATCCAAAAGTTTTTATGTTGTGAACATACCTAATACCAATTTGATCACTGCAGTTTATAAAAGTTGTGCCTCAAGGAAACTGAAACATTTCCTAGTAAATATAAAACAATTGTATAAATTTATTACACATCTATGTATATGGGGTTTTTTTGTCTGTGTGTGTGTGTGTGTGTGTGTGTGTGTGTGTGTGTATTTTGATAGGTAGGTAAATAGATATTTTAAAATGTTGTGTGTATATACACACATTTACACACAAAAATTTTAAACCTACCTTTTAATAAATTTGAATCTGTCAATTCTTTACCAATTTGGAATAATCTAGCATAATTTGGTATTGAAAGTGATTTCTAAAAATCACATTTTTTTATATTGTAAAGCATTTCCTATATTCATTCTGGTGTACTACCAAGGAGCACTGCAATGAAGTATACCAGTTTAACTGAAGATCATTAGTACAAACAGAAGTTATTCATAGACAGTGGGCACAGTGCCTGGGTTTTATAAACTGGCTTTACTGTGTTATACAAACTGTCTATAAATCAAACAAATTTAACAACAAAGAGTGCAAGAAAATGTTATGAAGCATATAGATGAAAAGAAATTCCACCATATGACATACAGTACACATTAAGTTTATACTTTGCATAAATTTACAGCAGAATATAAAACAGCTTTAGGACAGAGAATAATATAAAAGTATGAAGAATAAAACCATAATGCTGAATAAAGTTTAAGTAGAATATCACATGCTGAAAAATGATTAAAAAAACAGCAGTAAGAATGATTAATTTAGAGAAACAATAAGTATTATAAAATGTAATGAAAACAAAAAATTAAAATTTCAATGCAGGAAAAATAGTAGATATGCAATCCAGTTTATAATTCTAAAATGTGATCAACATCTTAATTTTTAAAGTAAATTAGTCTGAGTATGATCTTGACATATAGGAGGAGACAATCAGAACCAGCCTTAAGAGAGATGGAATGGAATCTGTTCTGAGTTTGAACAAACATTAAAAATAAAATGAATGTACAAGATAAATATATGTTTAAACATATTTTGGAAAGACATATAACTCTATATAAACTTTTAAGTAAAAATTATTAACCAAGATTTTCTGGATATATAATATTGTACACTTATAAACAGTCAGAAATAAGGTCTCAAATTTTTCCAATACAACTGAACAGACTTCTGGCTTAATGGGTCTACTTAAAAAACTACCAGCTGCATTTAAATAAAATCAAATAAATAATAAAATTGGACATATATTTAAAATTAATAAACTAGAGTGCAACTACATGAAGCTGACAAGTTCATTTTAGGCACAAAATAATGTGCCTAAAATTTACTAGAAATAATAAATAGAAACAAGTTTATAAGACATTTGTATGGCAAATTTGTCAACCATTTCTGGGCTTAGAAATATACATAATTATCACAATTCACAGAATTTCTGCTGTTTTCTATGAAAAAAGAAGCATTTATTTTAATACTAACCTGCCATTTCTCTGGGAGGTGCTTCCCTTGCTTTAAAACCATTGATGGATGCCTTGGTGTCAGTTTCTAACATCAGATTTAGTTGCAATTCAGGCTTAAATTTTGTGTATCTATTGCTGAGTAAAGGATACCATTTTGGTGGCTGTAGCAATTTTATTTAAAAAGAAATAAATAATATGCTTACAATAAAGAATCAATAATGACCAGCCAATAAAAGAACACATTTGAAGTGCAGCAAGATAAATTAAGCAGTTAAGCAGGAATATTTTAAGAGTTCAAAAAAAAAATATTAACAAATACTTCTAAGTGACCAACCTCTTTACATTATAATAGCTGCATAACAAAAAGCATCAGATGTACAGATGTTGAGACTCTAGAAAGAGTACAGAGAAGAGCAACAAAGATGATTAGGGGACTGGAGGCTAAAACATATAAGGAACGGTTGCTGGAATTGGGTATGTCTAGTTTAACGAAGGACAAGGGGGGACATGATAGCAGTATTCCAATATCTCAGGGGCTGCCACAAAGAAGAGGGAGTCAAGCTATTTTCCAAAGCGCCTGAAGGTAGGACAAGAAGCAATGGATGGAAACTAACCAAAGAGAGAAGCAACCGAGAACTAAGGAGAAACTTCCTGACAGTTAGAACAATTAGCCAGTGGAACAACCTGTCTCCAGAAGTTGTGAATGCTCCAACACTGGAAGTTTTTAAGGAGAAACTGGACAGCCATTTGTCCAAAATGGTATAGTTATCTGCCTAAACAGGGGGTTGGACTTGATGACCTCCAAGGTCCCTTCCAACTTTATTATCATCATCATCATCATCATCATCATCATACAGGCAGATATTTATCTGTTCTATGTACTATCAGTTTTTTGTTCAATTTCCCAAAGCCAAAAACAATTAAGCATCATGAAGATATTATTATGGTATTGTGCAACATGGCTGCTATGGGCTTCAATAAACTCTGCTTAAATCACTATGTAACATATTGTATGAACATGTAATTTAGTTAATGTAAAGCAGGCATGTCAAACACGTATCGCAACTTTTTCCACATTGCCGGCAATGGGGTGGGCGCGGTTTCATTGTGACGCATCCGGCCCATGGGCCAGCAGTTTGACATGCCTGATCTAAAGCATAGTTTCACTGAAGAATAAAGCACTATCTTTCCTAGTCTGATTTATAACGGCAGGTGAAATCCCAAACTCCTGCGCTGAGAAAGTTTCTACCACTCAAAAGCTAAATGATAGAAAGTCAAGTCACATTCTTTCCTGTGTCTACATATTTATTTTTCCTTTATGAAGGATTAACAATTATTTGAAAGCTCACCAGTAATCTGAAATGGTGTAATCCAAACATATATATTCAATTCTGTGCAAAGTTAGATCTGATACATTATTACTTAATCCAAATTAAAACAAATTAATCTGGAATACACAAAAAGGAATTTATTTTATCATTAGATACAGAATTACAAATACCTGCTTTTTCTCTTGAGCAGTTCTTAAATCTAGCACAATATAACCTATTGTCTCTTTAACTGCAGATAGAGAATCCAAAGCAAAGCACTGCAACTTGACAGGTGTACGCTGTAATCTGTATAAAATATGAATCCCATGCAAAAATTGTTAGCATATATATATATATATATATAAATCTTATATAAGATTTTGATTTTTTCCTTTGTGAGTTTGAATGCAATTATCTTAATATTTTACATATTTCAGAAACAACTATACTAATTAAAAGTATTCTCTCACAAAAAAAACTTTATTACCATTTTGATTCACAACAAATACAATCTAGTATTTAAAACTCTTTTCCCAAAGGATAATTGTGTAAAAGAGAACAGATCCCTGTATTACTTTTTTCTGGGCAAATCTAAGATAATCTTCCCAATAAAAGAAAAATAAAACTGACAGCAGAAACTCTTATTTTAGATAAGTATAATAGTTGACAATCACATATTCCATTACCACATTTATTTCTTCCATTGCGAAGGCATTTGAAAAAATAACCACAGGCAACAACTGGTCTTTATCTCTTGTGTCTCTGAATTTTACAGCACTATCACAGATCAACTCACTATAATAATTGTTAAAAAAAATTCAGAGGCCTAAAGCAAGTCAATGTAATTTACCCATCCACAACTTTTTGAGAAATAACCTGTGTTGGTGAAGTGCTTTCCTATCAAGTTCCCAAGCTAACTCTGTGGCAAATTCTGGTTGATCAGTATGTTCCACAGGATCTGTAGCCAAATGTTCGCCATCAAACTTTGCTTCTACCACCAGCAGACGCTTTGGACGTTTTGGAAAATAACGCCCTAGAAAAAAAAGAGGAAAATACAATTAAAAAGCTCTTAAATAGAAAAACTGAAAACTTATTTCATCAATCACAAAATGTATTGTATTGTCAAAGTTGATTCAAATATTCAAAAACTATTCTTAACCGCTGCACAACTGAATCTTCCATCTTCTGGTTTCAAATAAATTAATAACAGCGTATCCCAATTATAGAAAAACTTGATTGTGTCTGCAATGGACAGTAACTCAGATGATTTCTTCAAAAATGTAATGCTTGCATTTACATATTTTGCTAAGCCAAATTCTGGTTTAAAGGGAACAGGTAGCACTGAATAGCATACAGCATAAATAATCCATTTCTCTATTACAGCTGAGCTAACATAGAAATCCATGTATTTTCTTTAGCATAACATGTTAACAGGAAATGCTGCCTGGTTTTCATCTTTCCAGTTTGTGCATATTGCTATAAGAGCCACAAAGCTTCCATGGGTCGTTATTTCTTTACCAATGCTAGCAGAAGTGGGAGAGATCAAATTCATTCACACTAAGTCAGAATTCTAATTAAGAATGAAATACAAATACAATTAGGACCAGCTTTATAGCAGTCACATAGTTAAAGGCTCCAGATTACACTCTTCCAAGAAAAATGGCCACTACAAAGAGAAAGAAAACCACTCTGTTGCCTTGTTAAGGAAAACATTGACAGAATTTACAGTATGAACTGTTTCACAATATATCAAAACCAAAGCATTTATGTGGCTGTACTCCCCAATCCCTCAGATAGACTAGCCCATACTCATATCTTATAGCAGTAATGGCAAACATATGACACATGTATCAAAGGTCATATGCCACAATATTTTGGATAATGCGTCAGTGTTCATCAACACACAACAACTATTTGTGAAATCAACTCACGAGTCATAAAAGAGCCAAGGTTGCCTACCCCTGTCCTATAGTCTCTTAAAGGTTCCTGCGGGAGAAAAGCATCAGTTTATTTTTGCTTGCTCTGGAATATAAGTCTTGCCTCATAATACACTTTTTAGGACAACAGAACTATAAGAATAACCAATGTAAACATGGTATTCTATCTATTTGGTATGGGGCTTCCAATATGTCAATCAAGAAAATGGTTAACATTTCTCTCCTGTTTTATCAGCTGCCAACCGAAGCTGGGAAGCAAGGCAGCATACATCTTCAGGCTGCACACAAATCAAGCATGTAATCTATGGAGCAGAGGAAAGAGGAATTCTCTCTCTGGTTTGCCAAAGGTGCCCTTTTGCCGCAGCTATTCTACTCATCAGCTCTCATTCTATAGAACACACGTACTAAAACAGATCAGACAGATTCTTTTAGCATTCCCTTGAGCAAAAATCCAAACCATCTGCCAAGTTTCATAAACTATGAAATTCTGAAATGATATGATCAAATACACACACTATGGCTGTAATCCTATACATATTTAGGGCTCCAAAATTATTTGTGAGTAAATATGGATAGATTGTTTATTCTGATGCATGTGGGACCTGCTAGCAAACGAAATTAAAGCCAAGGACAAAATGCAGTTAACACCAAATATACTTCATAATCTTCATATAGTATGTGTGAAGTTGTGTTTTGTTTTTTTCCAATAGTTACAATTCAAATTTTAAATACCATGCAATGTAAAATCAGATTCAGCTCTACTGTAAATAACTGCATTATAGATTAACCCACCAACAAAATTTGAGTAATATATAACCAGAAAATTTGTAAACCATTTGCTATTACAAAAACTACAATGTGAAGCATGAATTTACCACATTGTGGCAACCCATAATGTAACAAAAATTCCTGATGCTTAACTCTATTGTAAAAACTAAACTAAAATTGGACAAATAAATATCTGCCTAAAAGTTTAAACAATCTGACCTCAGCTCATGCTTATTTATTAATACAGTGACAAAATCAATGTATTGCTTTGAGTAAAGTTTGTCTATTCCAGAATAATCTCCCATAAATCAAGGACATCAATTATATCAGCTCTGAAATAGGATATTACAGTGTGAACAATGTAACCCACCCACAGTTCTTGCTACCATAGAAATAATAATCTGAAAACAACACTACATGTATTCTTCCTTCTTTATTGTGTTTTTGTAGATTCCCCCCCCCCAATATACTCTAACCCTGAGCTTATTTTTATAGTACAAGTCCTTTTGCCCAGAAACCCACTAACCAGAAATGCCCTTAAGAGGAAAAATGTGAGGACAATTTTAACCATTAGAAATCATTTAACAACTTCCAGATCAAATATGAGAAAGATTATTCTCATAGGAACTATGTAGGAAATTATTGGTTATTTTATTAAATAGTTTAAGCCCAACTCTGTAATGACTCTGGGTAAAATAAAGATTTCCTCAGAGTGTTCCCTCTCATTACTGTACCTCACATAACACAAAGTTCAAGATGGTACTGAGCTCAAGGAATAATTCTTTAGAATGTACTTGGCTTATTCAGATGAGATAAGATCTTACCATCTGTGCAAAAATATGGAATATTTGAAGTTGGTACAGATGCTTCCTCAAAATATTTCACTGCACTGGAAGACTTCCATACACTTCAGAAAAGAAAAATCTATTTATTGCTACCACGGCAGCAGCATCAATTGTGGTTTCTGCTACTACCCTTTGCTGGTCAGATTTAATGCCTGAACGCTACCCAAACCCAAGATGGTCCATAATTGCCTCCAAAAGTATTCTCCAACCCCAGGAGCCAATAAGAGTTTAAAATCTGGAAGTGGCCAGGTTGATTTAGGTAGTATTCACAGGCAAGAGAAAGGGGTGCGATCGCTTTTTCCACCAATTCGTCTCCAAATACCTTCCAAGATAGAGACCACAATGAGGAGCTGGTCAGACTTAGGGCCCATTTTCATTCGGGTCAGCAGCTACCGAGCCAAGACTGGCTGGCTCACGGCTTATTCGTTCCAGAAGAAAGCACGGCTGGTAACGTCGGAAGCTGACTTCCTATATCGGACGCCAAGAGCCACGCCAGAAGACAGGTCACTCTCTTCCAGTCCCGCCGGCCCGAAGCTCTTTCGCGCCTCCGACTCGTTTTCAATTCAGCCGCCGCTTAGCAACCGGGAGGAGTAAGGAGAGGGCATGCCGGAACGCAAGAACCAGTGGCCGAGGGAAGAACAGCGCCGGCCCAGCCTGTTGCTTCACTTCCGTCTCTCGGTCTCTGTCTTCAGAGCGAAGAGCCACAGCGCCACTTACTGGACCGGCGGGAAAGATCCTGAAAGGGAGCCCTGCCCTAAAAACAGCAGCAGGTGCGATTTGGTCTCCGCACAGGGAGGGATACGTTTCAGTTTTGAACAGCTGTGGGTGTCCTCAGCTTACATGCGAATTAGCAACCGGACTCCCGCACAACTAACAAAAGTGAACAAAGGAGCTGCACGTCCATCCAAAACCAGATGGCCGAAACAGCTACTGGGGCGGGGAGCTGAGGGAAAGATTAAAACCAAAAGATTAATCAGCGCAAGTGAACTTCCTGTCATTGGGCTTTATTAAAGACATTCTCATCCTCGCGGACAGAGGTGTACAAATAATTATTTCCATTGCAAGTGGGCGATGAGGGTGTTTCTCCATGCTTTCTTGAAATCCCTTAATGGGATCTGCTTACTTTCTGCAGAAGATTCCTTGATCAGCCGTACTAGCTGTAATCGGATCCACCCTCCCTCCAAGATTTTACTTCAAATTGTCTCCTTTCAGCCGCTTTGCTATTTTCAAATGTGCGGGTGATAAGACTTAATTGAAGGAGCACCCACTTGGTTAGGGATTTCTCACATAAGTCATCTGTTTTTTCACGAACATACCATATGTAACACTCAGTCTTCTGAAAGGTTTTCCCCTTTTTAGTTTGGTGTCATCTCAAACAAGTCACATTACGTCTCCCTATATAATTCTTGAAGGGTGGAGGGAATAATCCTTCCTCTTGGTTTAACGTCTTTGTTTTTCTTTATGATTACTGGTAAGGCTAATTTTAGCTTCAGTGAACTTCAGAAATGAAGCCATATGCATCACTCAGTCTCTAATGTGTTTACATTATCTTTTTATCTAGAGTTGTAGATCTTCTGTGGCTTTATTGCAGAGAAGCCCTCCTTAAGATGAGCTATTTATTTTTAAATTTATAAATTCATACCAGAATATATGTATATGTATCTCTACCAGCAATTAAATTAACACACATCAACCATCTATATCTGTATTATTTGACTCTTCCTGTTAATTATGTGACATGACCTTAGTATCAAAAAAACTACTGAAGATTTCAGCTTCAATTGCAATTATATGTGTGTGTGTGCGTGGCAACGTTTCGACGAAGTTCCATTCGTCATCTTCAGGCTGGTGCTTTCAGCTTCTTGCTTCTAGGAGCAATGTGTGGTCGTAGCTGTTTCTTCCTTTTAACTGCCAGTGGGGGCATGAACTGATTGGATGGGAGCTTGGCTGTGTTCTGATTGGGTGGAGGTGTGCTCTGATTGGCTAGGGGCTTGGCTGTGCTCTGATTAGCTAGCCAATCAGAGCACACCTCCACCCAATCAGAACACAGCCAAGCTCCCATCCAATCAGTTTATACCCCCACTGGCAGTTAAAAGGAAGAAACAGTTACGACCACACATTGCTCCTAGAAGCAAGAAGCTGAAAGCACCAGCCTGAAGATGACGAATGGGACTTCGTCAAAATGTCGCCAAGACACTTCCAATTTTACACGGGAGAAAAACCCAAATAACCAAAGACCTACATACAAACACCCGCGAAAACCTCAGTATACACACACACACACACACACACACACACACACACACATAGACACACACACATAAAGATGCATTTAAACCATATAATCAATTAAACTTGGTTGAGTAGTTTATTGTTCCCTGATACCAAAAAGATATTGCCTTCTACTTTTTATTGTTTTGTTTTTGGATTTTTGGGGGGGAGGGAGGGTATATGGTCACACTTCCAAAAGAAATACTGGGGTGCAAACACCCACCATTTTTCCCTTTTAGACGAGTGCTTTAATGATGCAGAAAGCTGGCATTTTGCTTTAAAGCATGCCATTATTCCACTTTTAAAATGTAACATTACTTATCTGGTTAAAGGTCAGAGAAAGCAGGGAGCCAAGAAAGATGATTGCATGCGGGTTGAATTCTATAACATTGTAATGGTGCAAGTGCACAAAGACTCCTAACAGTTTCTGCAGAAAGTTGAGAGAAAAGCTGGAAAACAGTGAGGGAATGATACAATGCCAAAGAAGGGAAAATAAAATATTTCTTAACTTTCACATCATTTTGGTATAGTAGCACTAACTCGAAGAAGTTAAACTCTTTGCAATTTTTCCAATAATTTATGTATATTTATTATGATAAAATGGCTATTATAGAAAACTATTTTGTCTGTTTTCTCCTATTTCATGCTTTTTAATATTTTAGATGAGACAGTGAAATTAAAAAAATTGAATGGCAAAATATTTTCATATTGTTGTAATTCATGCAGTCAAGGGAATCAAAGTCAGCTCAAGGATGCCTACCTTTGGAAAAAAGTTGCCTCAAGAGCTAATTAGGTGGTCTCTATATATTTGTGGCTATTCTTGTATTATTCCTAGTTTTCTTTCCATTAGTTATTCTCAGATTAAATTGTATTGCTGAAGGAAAGAAGCTGATTTAAGTTCCATTTTTTTTATGTAGCATGTACCCCAAACACTTTTTCATTATGTAATTTGAGATGTATATTCAAAGTCATATATTTGTGCATTCTTTTATTGAAGTTGTTCCAATTATTTTTTTCTTAGTGGAAAAATATAAATAAATAGAAATATAAATACAAGCCCTGCATTATTATTCTGTGGCATGTCATCCAAGACTTTGTAAAATGCCAGCTGCATACACTTAAGTTACATTGGGATAATTGCCCATGGTTTAAATACTTAGATATTATAGATGTTAATGCTTTTAGCAAAAAAAAAAAAAAAAAATCTGTGTGTGGCTAATTTGTTGCCCACAACAAAACATCTTTATTTCATTTTACAAGGAAACAAAGCTGTATTTCCATCTTTTTGTTTTAGGGTCCAATTACTGTAATACAGATTGAGTAATAAGGCTCCTAGTTTATTTATAGCAGATATTTTGCCTCCTTTGGCGACAATTGAGCTTTTTCTTGTACTTTTCTGGTGGGGAAAAGCAGCCCTCGAGTTCTCCCTTCAAAGGAATTTCTAAGGTATAGAAATTATTCAGATATTTCAGATTATTATTATTCGGATAATTTCTTTATCTGAGGAAGCTTCTCAGTAGGGTTTCTGAAAAACAATAGGCAAGTAGACCCAGAATGTGCTATTTGGGGAGTAGTAATACCTGCCATTCTGTTCAATGTGAAAATTGAGGTCATACAAATGTTGAATCAGCAATTAGCTTCACCATTCTGGCTCTGGACTCAGTGGAAATTGACCCAGGCCAGAAACCACCATTTCCTCCTCCTCCCAGTCCTCAAAGACTGCCAGCACCGAAGAGAAGGCATCAAAAGGTGACACAGGAATGTTTGGTCTTCAAGCAAACCTGGCAAGGCTCCACTGCAGTAAGTTGCTGATGGAAGCCAGGCCTCAGCCAACTGTGATCAGACAGAATAAGAAGCAATTATTTAGAAAACAACCTGGAATCAGCAATGATGTTCTGTGAAAACCTTACTGATTCTTGCCTTACAATTCCTAGCTACCATTTCCGTTATTTTCCCTTGCTCTTCCTTCAAATTTATTCACCTGTCTGATGAGCCTGATAGATGTGCCTGAAATGTGGGCTGAATTTATGAACTTGAAACAGGCTTGATTGATTTACTGCTACTTTAAACCTGATAGTCACAACTGTTTACGGGACTTAGACAGCATCATTTCTCTTTCCTATATTAAAGATGAATCCTACACATTGCACTGTTGCTCTTCTTGGGATGTTCATCACTGTTTTGTTGGCATTAATGATGCTTGTTATGTGAGCAGCGTGGTAGCCTAGTGGTGGAGTTCTCACCTCACAATCAGGAGGCTGTGAGTTTGATTCTAGGTAGTGGCATATATTTCTCTCTCTGGGCACAAGTAAATTGTCTGCTGTGAACTCCACATAGGCGTGAGGAAGACATCCAGCCAATAAATACTCAGCTCCATGCAATCACCCTGATTCCACCCCATCGAAGGAGTTAAAAGACAAAAAATGCTTGTTATGTGAAACCATAACAAGCAATTCATTTTTAATCATGGTTTATTGATTAAAACCAGAGTAGCCTTTACGATAAAACATGTAAGCTCTATGTATGTATACATATACATACACACATACATATACATACATGTTTGTGTGTGTGTATGTATTTAGTAGTTGAAACAGTAATAGAAAATACAAACACACGACTATGAAGCACATGGGGTGATATAGTTATATATAGTAGTAGAAAAACAATGAAAAAAGAAAATATATTGGCATCCCTCATTTTATTGCATTTCCTTTGTTGCGCTTCACACATAATTTTAATTTTTCACAAGATCCTCTATCAGCAAAAAGATTATGACTCAGTGAAGGCTCAGATGATGACTATCATTTTTAACTATAAAGTATTTTTAATTAAGGCGTGTACATTTTTAAGCACAATATTATTGCACACTGAATAGTCTATAGCAGAGGTGTCAAACTGCTGACCCGCAGGCCAGATGTGTCACCAGGAATCCGCGCCCACCCTTTTGCCGGCAATAGAGAAAAAGCTCTGATACATAGCGCGACGTCACGTGACGTCGCGAGTTTGACGTGTCTAGTCTATAGTATAGTGTAAGCATAACTTTTATATTTACTGGGAACCAAAGAAAAATGTGTCACTCTACTGCAATTTGCTTTATTGTAGGAGACTGAAACTGAATACACAATATCTTCGAGATATGCCTTAATAGCAAGAGAAATAGAATACAAATAGAAACAGAAGCCCCAAAAGGCAAAAATTGATAAAAACTATGGTTTACATATCACATTGGCTAAGGTAAGGTAAAATCAGACAAACTGGGCTATGGCATAGTGTGATTTATGGGTCCAGTCAGCAAGTAGGTTTTCTTGGGGAATAGCAACACACCACTGGACCAAACTCCTATCTGGACCAATTCCTTTGAAATGTTTCTAAAGGCTTTTATTGATTTAGCATGTTTCTCATGTATGATCTCTTGTAAAGTATTTCCACTTCAGAAGATCTTGATAAGAAAATA